ATGTGTCTAATAAAAATAAAATATTGAGTTATTTTTATACGGAAAATACACTGTGAGACAAAGTTACCCGCAACCAGGAGGTAACTTTTCACACCCAGTTTTTAATTTTTATATTTGAAACTCAGCCTTACGTAATATTATAGTTATTATAGTTATAGACATAGTTATTATAAAAGAGCAACTCAAGACTCGAATTTTGGTATACAATATTCAATCTTTATGATTGTTAAAACCACAAAAATGTTAAGCTTAAGTTTGAAAGTGAGCTAAAGCCACTTTAAACACGGGTACTCATTTTTAAGAACTAAAATAAAACACACATTAATAAACTCCACTAGTGGATAAGTACAACTTAACCTAAAAACTAAAACACTGATCTGCCAATAATACCATTAAGGTACGATACGATACGTTCATAGCCATCGAATTTCTGCATTTGTTTTTTAATTTTTATTTAATTTTCTACAGCTTATTTTACGTCACTGCAAGTTTGATTTTTGGACAAAATAAAATATGCAACTCGTGGAGAATGGTTGATTCTAAACTCGCAAAATCGACCATTTTCTCCACTTGTTGCACAACATACTATTATAGAGTGGGGAGATGTTCAATTATATACTTTACTTTATAAAAAACTATTTATTCTTCACGAAACCGCTCTTTATGGTAACCGCCATTATTTCAAAGCAACGCAACAATTTTATCGTTGTAACAAAGCACAATGCGCGGTTGCTCTGTACGGGCGCTTCTAATGCCTAACGGCTATGTGCACGCGGGTAGTCTTTTCCAGCCACTTAGTAATTTATTAATATCTGTTTCAGGTAAGAACGGGCTGCTGCAAAACCGAGCCACGTTGTTTATCATAAGTCTCGAGGTAAGCTCGATAATACCCTTCTGGCTCAAGTGCCTATATTTTCATCCTGTTTTTAAACCCTGAGGATGCTCCTTAACGTTAAATTTTAAGTGGCGGCAAAAATAAATTAAAATGAAAAATTATTTATGACATTATTTGAGAAATTTCCATGACATTATTTACTCTGCATTTCAATATTAAGGATATTTCGACCATTATTAAATAAAATTTATTCAATTAAATTAACAAAATGTCCTAGAAGAGATGTTTATGACTAAACAAAAATATGTTAAAAGAAATGTTAAAAATTCAAAATTCGCATTTATATGAAACATTTAATTCAATAATTAAGATTTTGTCACATCATTTTTAGATTGGGGTCAAGTGACATGATGACATTTCAGCTTTATTTGTTTACGGAGTTTTAATAAAAATTTAAATTTGAATTGATATACGCTAAAGAAGCATCGTGTTTTCGCAACGTGCGCGCCATCTGGTGGAGCATTCTGGGAATTTAATATTTGTCAACAATACATTTAAAGCATACGAACTGCACATCATTTTTAAATAAATAAGTAGTTTTTTCACCAAAGAGAGGAAGGCAGAAAGAAGTCTTACTCGACAAATTTTGTTCGCGTAGTAAAAACTAAAAACCATTGGTTTAAAATCAATTTCGATTTATTATTCCTTATATCATTGATTGAAACTCAACGCTTATAAATAATATATAGCATATTATGCTTAAATAGTTGCGTTAGTGTGTGTATTTTATTTAAGTAATCATAATGAATTATTGTGTTTTAAATTGTAAATGTAATTTAAAAACTATACTTTTCATGTTTTGCCAAAGGATCCAATTCGGTACTCTCTAAAAATGAATTAGCCATGTTGAATTATAAATTAACTGTTTTTAGATTTCCTGTATATAATTATAAAATACATCCATTTGGCAAAATATAATTATTATAATATAACCCATAAGTAATCAGTGTAATGTATCTAAATGTACTATATTAATTAATAGGAAAGTTTGAATTTCAAGCAAAGATATATTGGGTTAATTTGACCAAAATTTGTCAAGTGGCAGGTTGACGGGTGTTATTTATCGCCATTTGACTAATTTATTACTTGATCTGATATTAAAATAATAGTAATTTCTCAAGCCAAACCCAAAATACGTATATATTGTTTCGGGTTTTAATTAATTAAATAATAGTTTGTATAATTGATTGTTAAAACTAGATTAGAAATATTGTTTTACATTTCAATAAAAGCTTAATGTTATGTATTTATTTTAATGAGTGATTCTTGGGGTAATTTTTAGTGAAAAAGTTCTTATAAATGTATATACTAATAAGATTTGTTTTTGAAGAAAAAATTTCATATACTAAGTAAGGAATTTTCAGCAATTTTATTTTATTTAAAAAGCAAATAAAATCAACTCAAACATTTGGTTTTATATTCTCATCCCAAGTGGCTAAATTATGTAAGTTTGATAAACGCCATTTTAGACACTAATTTAATTTAGGCACGAGCAAGCTTGCGAGCGAGTGCTTAATGAAATGAGCGTCTATAAAAGTTTATAAACGAGTTGCATACCGAGGGATAAACCACTGATTTTTTTAAAATTAAACATCGCATACGAATTAACGCCTAAGAATAACAATCACAAGGGTAGTTTTTTTATTGATAACGACTATATCCCTTGAAAATGGACCGTTTAATCCGATATAGAAGCAGTTTTTCAGTAAAGGAAATGTTATTGGCACTTTACGGTGAAGTCTCCACCCAAAATTAAGTTAAATATAGTTTACTGCAGGCGAAAATAAAAGGTCAGTACAATGTTCATATAAAGTTTTCAAATATTGGCGTTCAGAATCTATTTATTACTTTTGTTTTGAGATAATAAAATAATTTTTACATTTAGTATTGGGTCAGAATTTCTCAAACGGGCCACCTGAATTAGGTCAAAATTAGTTTTTGTTTGTAGATACATTTTTTTGATAGTATTTTACATCACTAACACAAATCCTAAAGGATTTTGTAAAAAAAAAATTTTCAATTGACATATTCATGATATTAAAAGTCAAAGTTTTTAATAATTAAAAAATAAAAAAATTCATTATGGCTGAACTAATTATCCGATTCCAACGATATAACTAGCGTTGGAATCTTGTTTTGACATAGATTCTTTGTTATTTTTTTCAATTGTCCTATTTTCATTTAGGTCGATTTTTTTTTGTTTTTTTTTATACCAAATTCGGAAATAATTGCCTTCTGCGCCAGCTATCGACTCGAGAAAAAAAACACATATACTCCAATCATTTTTCGAAATTATGCTGCTGAGAAAAAAAATGGCCCGCAGGTTGACAAAAAGTTATTCGTCCTTTTGTGGCCGCGCGCGGTGTCAGCTCACGCTCCGAACCGTGTACGCTGTACGCGCTTGTGACGCGACGTCTTACGGTGGTCTGGAACCTGCGGGCCATTTTTTTTCTCAGCAGCATAATTTCGAAAAATGATTGGAGTATATGTGTTTTTTTTTTCGAGTCGATAGCTGGCGCAGAAGCCAATTATTTCCGAATTTGTTATAAAAAAAACAAAAAAAAATCGACCTAAATGAAAATTGTACAATTGAAAAAAATAACAAAGAATCTAGGTCAAAACAAGATTCCAACGCTAGTTAAATCGTTGGAATCGGATAATTAGTTTAGCCATAATGATTTTTTTTTATTTTTTAATTACTAAAAACTTTTACTTTTAATATCATGAATATGTCAATTGAAAATTTTTTTTTTACAAAATCCTTTAGGATTTGTGTTAGTGATGTAAAATACTATCGAAAAAATGTATCTACAATCAAAAACTAATTTTGACCTAATTCAGGTGGCCCGTTTGAGAAATTCTGACCCTATTATTTTAACGATTGTATGACATTTGACAACTGTCAACTAACTTGACCCGTGACTATAATCCTGTTGTTAACATCAGCCCGTGACTAAAACGCCTTAAAGCCACAACTTTTCAAAGTGTATTTAAATGATCACGTAGTGTCATGAACACATGTACGATAATGGGCGTTTTAAAGGTGGGAGTAGAAAAATATCTTTATTATTATAATAATTATTAGCATTTATGCTTATTAGCCATTTACAATTCCAACATTAAAATTACTATTATTTTAAATTCTATAATTGTAAAAATTTTGAATTAAATTTACATAAACTTATACTTGTATACTTATTCTATAGAATGGGACATTTCAATTTTAATTTTACAAATAATTAACATTGTTTTATAATTTATATATTGATTCACACTTAAAATATTTAATGTTTCCAACATTAGTATACTAGTAATAGGTGTGAATTTGCTACATTTTGTAATATTTTATTTTGTAATGTTTAAAGTTTTTGCATTTCATTTTTGTTAATATTGAATAATTTTTCGGAACAATATTCAAATTGAGGGCTATAAACGTCCACGTCAAATCAAATTTGACAATTTTTGATCTTTGAATACCAAACATATACTTACTAAAGTGTGTGAATATAATATAAGTTAAAATATAATAAATAACCCATATAAAACAATATAACTAAAGAAATAACTTAAAAATTGTCTTCCGCATTCTGACAAATCTTAATATCCCCTATTTTTTTGTAGCAGTTTATTTTAAAACTTGATTATCTACGCTCATTGGGTTACTCATGCAGGAAGCAGATTGTTGTTTGTTCACAATACAAAAATGTCATTGTTCTGCTGCACTATGCTATAGTAAAATGAGATTGCAGGCACTCAACAAGACTGGATTGCTTTGGGGTAATATTAACTAGGTTATAAAATGTGTTTTAAAAATAGTCCCATGTTGTCCTCAAACTTCGTTTTTTCTAGAAAGCTTTTGCAATTTCTTTATTTCTAAAGAATTACAGCCCTACTAACATATTTTCTATTTTATTTTGTTTACTTTATTACACTCATATTTACCGGTATTATTGCTAATGAATTTGTCCTTATCTATAATTTAAATGTTTACTCAACGTTTGGTTGTATAATTACGTTTATCTTATCATTATTTTTTATCATGGTGAACACAAATAGTTAAATCAGAGCGTCACCTGTTTTACTTCTATAAACAAGTTTAATAAAAATGGTAATAAAAGTTTACTTCTCTAGTGTTACCGGCATCCCTGAAGTAAGTTTACTGCTTAAATTCACTTTATATAAGATTACATGGGATATTATCTTAGGGTTTTAAATATTCGTTAAATTTTGTAATAATTTATTATGTTATAAAATATTTGTTTATAAATAAGTCAAACAAAAATAATTTTCTTTTAATACATACTTCAGTGTAATCCCAATGTTTTACCTTAACCAACTACTATTGATTATAGTAAAAAATTGTTTCTAGTTATTATAAATAAATTATCTTTTAAACTTAAAATTTTCTTACATTTCCTGTGCAGGGAAAGTGGAGAAAATACAATTTCTTTAAAACTTTGGCTCTACCCCAATAAAAATATTTAAAAATGATTGAAGTTTTTTTTAAAGTTCTTCACTACAATTTTATAAGACCCTAAAAATTTTAAATTTCCCATTGAATCTCGCAGTTTATTTAATAAACTATAGGTGAATTCCAGGCAAAAGTTGCTGTACAGCATTCTGGAAACGAAGCAAATAAAGTACGCCATAGTGGATGTAAGTCAAGATAGCAATAAAGATGAAAAGGAATACATGATAAAGTATGCGACTCAAAGTGGCGGAACCAAAAGCCAACCGAATCCCGAAGTGCCGTTTACACCTCAAATTTTCAATGACGGCGTTTATTGCGGGGTAAAAATGATCTAAAACTTTTATAATAAAACATTATTTTTTATGAGTATATCGTCATTTTAGGACTACAATTCCTTCGAAGTGGCTAACGAGTTGGGAACGTTGAAAGAATTTTTAAAGATAAATGGTTAAATATTATCTTAATGGTTTAAAAGTTTTTTAAGGACAAAATATCCAAATATTTTTTATAATTTATTTTGGGTCAAACCACGTCAAATCAATGAATTTTTATTGATTTTTTGGAAATTAATGATAATTGTAAAAGTCTGTTGATAATAACTAAACAATAAAACAATTTAAATCCGGTTTTATTATTTTTAGTACCTAAGAATTTTAAAAGAAAAATTGATATCTCACGAATCGTTTGCAATAATGGAATGATTTTTTTGGCACTTCTTAAATATTTTCTCTTCACAATAAATATTTTCAAAAAAGGTTATTTGCAAAAAAATAGATGGCATGAAAGGTATAAATAATTTAAACTGTTTCAATAGTTGTTACTAAAAATCAAGATTGTTGCAATTATTATTTTTGTAAAATATTTATCGTTAAGAGAAAACATTTTTATCTAATTATTTCTTTTAAATGTTGTAACATTGTTATGCACAGAGTGATCAGCTATTAGTATTTTTAGTGCCTACATAACCACACTTTTAAATTTTTTGGGACACTTAAAATAAAAAGTTAAAGGGGGGCGACATTATAGGGGATCACCCTGTACCTAGTAAAAATAATGATAACGGTGCGGGATTTCGAAAAATGATTTTAACGTTTTTTTTTAGTTATTAACTTCAGATTTTTACAATAATTGTATAATATTGTATAATTATTATCGTTACTTTCCAAAAAATCAATAAAATTCATTGACACATTTGACGTGGTTTGATAGTTTTTAATAGGTACCTATATTGGGTATTAATTTTTATAAGTGACAACTGTAGCGTTTTAGGATCAGGCACACAATTATAATATTTAAAATATAAGTTATCCTCATAAAAATTACTTTTACATTTTATAATATTTTTTTTAAATTTGTAAATATTTTGTTAAATTTGTAAATATACCAAATTGGAAAAAGTGGTATAATTATAATTATTATAATATTAACATATAAACAAAACAAATTAATCTTAATGGGACAATGTTTAGAGGGGAAATAAAGTGAAGAAAATAATATCTAGACGGGGTCGAAATAGTTGAATTTTAAAGAAAAATATAATTTCTTATAAACATTTGGGTTTATTGTACTATATATACTGTATATTTCAAATTTAAATTTTTATCTTAATAAAAATGCTTCAGTTTTTTTTTAATTTTTAAAATCAGAGATAAACACATACACATCATATTGAACGATAACTGAAGCTTGTAAACTATCTTTAATGGAAGAACGCCAATTTAAAGTTAAATTTAACAGACAATTTATTTACGTGCATTTTATCGTTAACGTGTTGAAATTTACCTTCTTGCCTATTTTATTTTCAGGAGTAGATCGTTTGTTTAATTTATTTGCACAAATACTTATATGTGTATAACTAGTTTTCCATTAACCAACCTAACAGGCAATAACCTTAAAATGCGGTCTATTAAAAGGTAGCATCTTTGTTTTATATTAAACAGTTAATTAAGATCTGATTTGTTTGGTGTAAACTATTTTCAACGAAGTTGAATTTAGCAATAGAATGGTCTTGTTATTGTTATCGTAATTGTTACAGTTTAGTACTATTAGTACTATTAAACGTTTAAACGATAAAATGATAATAATAATTAGAAAAATAAAAAAAATTTAACAAAAAATTTCTAAAAAAAGTAAATAAACATTTCTTGACATTTTTTATTATATTCCTTTTTGATGTCATTTATAATACGTATAAAGCCGTCATATTAATTATTTAAATTAAAAAGTTAACGCAAACTACATCCGATGAAAGCCATCATAATTATTTTTATTATTCAAGAAAATATATAGAGCGTCAGGCACATATCAATCCAAAATTATTTGTGCTGTTTTGATAACACAACGGGTGTTTTATTTTATACAGTTACGAAATGTAAATTTAATTGCATGAGAAAAACGTAGGAAGCCTTTTTCTTATATTTTGCACTGTAGAATAACCTTCTAAAATTTTGGGATATATGTAAATATTTATTTTAACTTTACTTACTTATTTCAACATTTTCTTTTTACTATATTCGTAAAGCTTTTTAAAAATATACTTACTTAAGTAAGTACTTACAATAAAGTTTTGTGTGTAAATTTGTTTGTCTGTTTACATAATATTATTTTTATAACAGTTTTCAAGTAATTTGCATTTGTGATTGCAGCTAAAAAGCAATAGTGAACTAATTCAAATATTAATTTTTAAATTATATTTACAATTTTGTAAAAGCCTTAACAGTTACTGTCGAACTTTTAAATGAATCATGTCTTAAATAATAAATCATGTAAAAATACTTAGAATAGGTATGAAACATAATTTATTAGTAATAATACATTATATAACAGTGAAGAAAATTATTTAATTTTTAAGTTGGGAATTTTTATTGAGATAAAAAAAATTGTATTCAAATATTGTTTTTAATTAGAATTTGTATGTACCTACACTTTTTATACGTTTTAATTGAGAAAGTGGATTTCTTCAAAGGTTACTGTCCAATGAGATGTCGGGATTTTTTTTCCACGGTAGTATAAATAAATAAATTTATGGCCACTATGACAACTATACAGTGGTTTATTTTTTTTTAATTAATTTACACTGACATTTGTCATCGAATCTGTGCTGGTGGTAATTGTATAAAATTCTACCAAATCCATTAATAAAATTTGAGAAAAGTATATTATTCAACTCTTGAGAAATGATTATTTTCATTCGGGTTGGATTACTTCACTCGCCTTTGGCTCGTGCCGCAATATTTCATCCTCATGGAAATGCTTGAAATAGGACAACTTTGGTGATATGTTAAACAAATATTAGAAATATTCCCCAACACCAAAACAAAACACAAAGTGCTTAAGTACTTTTCGTTGGCAAAAAGCATATTGTGTTTTGTTTTTGTGTTGGGAAATATTTCTAATATTTGTTTCTCATGGAAATGGCCAACTTTCTCAATCGTTAAACCGTTAATTTACTCAACGGTTAATAATAATAATAATAATATTGTAACACACTCACGTGGAATTAAGACATTATACGCTCGAAAACAATGAAAATATTGGTCCACTAGTGGAAAAGTGAAAAAGAAAATAAATGTAGACGATTGTTTACAATAAATGACAGCTATATTTTACATACAGAATCTGTTAATACATACATAAATATGATGTTAAACATTGTTCTCATACCTGGAATTAGGGCGAATAAACCAAAAAAAAAAACAATTTAAGAAACCTCAAAACAATACAAATACCTATAGGTCAAATCATTTCCACAGAAGTTTTAATTTTTATTTGATTGTGAGGGTAAATAATATGTGAAACTCGTAAAAAATAGTCGATTATAAACTTGTATTCTTGCTATGCTCGCTTCGCTGGCGTATCAAACAAGTTATCGGTCAAAATAGTCCATTTTCTCTACTCGTTGCACAATTAATAAACCATTAATATGTATATGGGTGATTCTACAAAAGTTGGACAACTTGATGTCATCAGTCAATAGAGTAGGTATTTTAATATTTTTTGTATTTTAGTATATTACAAAAGATCCCGGTTTTTTTAACTTGTCCACCCAATTTTAATGTATTTTTTCAAAAGCACGTTTGTAGAAAAACATAATAAATATTCAAAACATCAGTACCTTAGCGTGTCACAACTCCTGAATCAAATATTTGATTGATTTTATTTTAAAATATATTCAATTTATCTTAAATTTTTCAATTTCACTACAAACTATAAAACATTTTATCAAAGATTTGAATAATATTAATTTTTAAAAAATTGATAATCTTTGTACTCACTTTTACCCGTCAGTCCAATGTTAAAATTCAAAATTGAATATTGAAGTTTAACTCAAGTGTTGGTAAAAAAAAGTTCCTACAGAGCCCGAGCCTTGAAAACAATGCAAGCGGCGAAGTTGTGGTGAATGCACGTATAGTTCCAGTCAAAATTTCAGTACTGTAGTGAGTAGTTATTTTCTTACGTATATTTTTCATTGTAATTTATATAAGGCTATATGTGATTTGTTGATAAGTAGCATCCACTAATAAAAAATATCAGTAAAATACTTAATTCCGAATTATAATCTTAAATCCCGTTCATCAGTACCGTGTCGTCAGTTCCATGTTCGATGTTTCGGTTATCTTTTTTTTTTCAAACTTCAATATAAACTCATATAAATTTGGTGTGGGTCCCATATCTAATAATTGAGATATCGGTATACCCGAAATCCACCAGCCGCCACTGATGTGTAGTATTATTTTATTTTAAGATATTTAATGTATAATATGCTCAAAGTTTCAATAAATCTTATATTTTCCAATAAATTATGTATTTAATTAGTACCCTGGGTATACTTGTCTCTTCCCTTGCATTCAAATTTAGAAAACACAGATATTTCAGAAACTGCTTGAAAAAGTGACTGGCTCGGTCTGGAACAGTATATTTATTATATTATATATGTTCTCATAATAAAATACTGTTTAATTTTCTCCGAAAACTATATAAACAAAATGACATCAAAAGTTGCCCAACTTTTGTAGAATCACCCATATAATAAAACAAAAATTGCTATTAATATTTTATTTTTCTTTAGTTAAAAACTTTTCAAGATTTTGATTGATTTTGTTTTAATTTTTAGTCTTGGTTTAGTAAAAGACCTTTAAAATAAGTTATATTTTAAGATATAAAAAAATATTTGTTTTCTCTTCTATTTATTTTTTTCTATTTAATCATATTTAAAATATTCTTAAATATTATATTATTGTTTTATACCTTATAGTTTAAAAACAATGATTAATATTTATTTTGAAGGGACAAAAAAATGTCAATTATATTCTGACTGTAAGAACAATAAAGTTTTTTGTAACTATTTCTTTTACCTTCTAAGTTGTCTGTTCGCCAATATAACTCCCATAAGAGCCAAATTGGCCGCCATACCCATCGTTCCCAGGGCGAAAATTAGTGCCGCCTCAGCCGTGCCGCCCGGATGACACTGAAACACTCTGGTGGCATTCAGGCTGGCGTTGGCAGCACTGCTCCCGAAACGCAGGTTGGCGCCAATCATGGCCACCGCCGACCCTGCAACAAAAATAAGTAAATGAGAAAATGATCTAAAACAATGTTCAAAACCAGAAAATAAATATCTTAAAATTCGGTTCATTTTCTACCCTGTATACAAGATCGTAGATAAAACTAAAAAAAAAACAAAAAAGGATAATAAAAAAGTTTAAAAATTGGATGGAATAAATCCTTGAATTAAAGTATAAAATAAATAAAATCATTGTTATTATTAAACCTTTTAAAATTATAAAAATACTAAAACCAAAATTTATGTCATAAATAAAATCATGGATGTATAATAATGCATATTACAGTAGATATTTTATTTATTATTATTTCCAGTAAATATATATCTCTACACTGTTATAACAATCAGATTTGTTAACGTTTGTAGTTTGTTAATTTAATTTTGTAAAATTTTAACATAATTTTTTGTAGAAAACCAGGGTTTGTAATTATTTTAACAAAGAAAAATATTTTACCGAAAGTTTTGTAAAGGTAATTTGCAATTTTGTTAACCATTTTGTTAATTTTAAAGGTTACAGATTATTTTGTTAATGTTCAACAAATTATTTTCAACAAATTATTTCCTTGAAAAAGTACACATGATTTCAGGCAGTCAATCAAAACAGTTCCCACTGACAATACGCATCAACAAGTTTACCTGATTTCAGCAACTTACGTTTCTGCTTTCTTTATTCTAATTCGTAACGTGTCCAAAGTGTTTATTATATATATATATATATATATATATATATATATATATATATATATATATATATATATATATATATATTAGGGTGTGCCAAAAAAACTCGATATGAGGTCCCTCATCGAATCTGAAGTTTTGCCGCTTAAATAACACAGAAAACTGACTTTTTTACCTTATTTATTCTTGCAACCTAGGAAGAAATTTTTTTTTCATAAAATGCATGACTAATTCTTACAAAGCATTAAATTTGGACAAAAAAATCTTATTAAGCCGAATTTCTATTTTCATTATTTGATTTTTTACAGAGCTTTAAATTTAAAGTTAATAATACAAAAATGATGAATTTATACGCCTGTAACTTTTAGAATATTGACGATACAAAAAATTCGCCTAAAACTTTTTTGTGCTCCATCAGACAAGCTAAAAAATTGCCATTTGACTTTTTCGTCTAACTTCAATAGTTTAGCTGAAAAAGGCAAAAAACGTAAAATTTTAAATTTAAAGCTCTGTAAAAAATCAAATAATGAAAATAGAAATTCGGCTTAATAAGATTTTTTCGTCCAAATTTAATGCTTTGTAAGATTTGGTCATGGATTTTATGAAAAAAAAATTTCTTCCTAGGTTGCAAGAATAAATAAGGTAAAAAAGTCAGTTTTCTGTGTTATTTAAGCGGCAAAACTTCAGATTCGATGAGGGACCTCTTAAAATTGAAATTATGAGCTCCGCTTTTAACAGAATATTTGTTTAGACATATTCTACGATATTTTGGGTGGAGAGCAAGAAAAAAGAAATATCGAGTTTTTTTGGCACACCCTAATATATATATATACGGTTTGTCACGAAAAACTTTTGAGTAAATTGTCAGACATTGGTATTAGAGGTACATTTTTAGAATTAATAGGGAGCTACCTTAAAGGCAGACAACAATATACTAAAATTGGCAATCGCATAAGTGACCCAAAAACCACAATTCATGGCGTACCACAAGGCACTATTTTAGGACCACTTTTGTTTCTATTATATATAAACAATTTATTTAGAGTAAAAAGCCTGGGAAAAATAATTAGCTTTGCAGACGATACTACCATTGCATATGAGGGATCTAACTGGGAGGAACTGAAGCAACGTGTAGAAAACGACTTTGTTCTTATCAAAGATTGGTTTGACAATAATTTACTCACCCTAAATATTGAAAAAACTTTGTTTATGTCTTTTGGATCATATAAAAATAGCTTACCATCTTTTAATACCCTTAACTTTTCATCAATAACCCAAAATTTCACTATCAAATCCACAAAAGCTATAAAATTCCTAGGAATTACAATTGACCAAAACTTAAAATGGAATCTTCACTTAGAGCAAATAAATAAAAAAATTCGTTGTTTAATACCATATTTTAAAATACTCAAAGGCGTTTTAAATGTTGAGCAATTAAATATAGTCTATAATGCCCTAGTTGATTCCCAGTTAAGATATGGTATTCTAGGATGGGGCGGAGTATATAAAGAATTTCTTGAAGATCTAGAAGTAACACAAAAATATATCCTAAAAATTATCCATAACAAAGAAAGAACCTACTCATCAGAGGAAGTATATAAAATATCTAAAAAACTAGACTGTCGAAAATTATATTACCTAACCCTACTTATACACGTACAAACTACAAAAAAAGAAGTTAAAATTTCCAATAGAAGACATCAAACTCATTTGCATGTTCCAAAAATGAAGAAAACTATAGGCCAAAGATGTAGTAAATATTTAGGCCCTAAAATTTACAACTCTTTGCCAGAAAATATAAAACAAGAAAAATCAGAAAAATTGTTTAAAAAGCTTTGTAAAAAATATGTGTTAAATTTGCCCAGAACTACTGCACCGAGAGAAATAGTCTGGGTATAGTTAAAAAATGATTTGTTTTAATATATTTGGTAAAATATAATAAATAATTCTTCTATATACCAAATCAGCACTTCTTAGTAACTATATTCAGAATTACTTAAGTTTATTTTGAAAAAATGATTTGGTTCACTGTATTTGGTTATAAAAAACAAATATAGTTTAATAATAACAAACCATTTTCAAATAGAGTTTGTATGAATAAATCGAGTTGTTGCTTGCTTATAAAAAACAAATGCAGGATAAAACACGTTGATTATTCGCCGTAGATGCTTTAGTTCGGCCATTGTGTTAGTTTGTGCAAAGGGAGTGGACGCGTCCGGACGTGCTGTATAGTTTATACCTAAATTAGGTAAATATGGATACATTTTTGATTTTAATTTGTTATGTTTTTTAAGTTTAAGAATTTTAAATTAAGATGTTTAGTTTACTTAAGTTTAAGATGTTTAGTTTACTTTACCAAAAAAAAAGTTTTTGTTTGCAAACATGTTTTTTAAGGAAAATGTTTTTTATTTTTTATTAAAATAAAATGTATTGTTATCAATGGCCGAGTGTTATTTAATATAGAAAACCCTAATTTTTATAAAAACGCTAAATTATAAAAATACATGTTTTGTTTTAATAATACAGGGTGTTTCAGACTTGTGGTGCCAAAAGCTCGAAGGAGATTCCTCTCATCAAAATATGACAAAAAAAGTTCCTATGAACAAGTGTCCGAAAATGCTTCGTTACCGAGATACAGGGTGTTTTATTTAAAAAAAAAGTTTAAATTTGATACTTTTTTGTTACAAAAATAATCATAATAATGTATAAAAAAGTGTTTTTAAGCTATAAATAAAAAACTCAATTAACAAAAAAACAAACACCCTGTATCTCGGAAACGAATCATTTTCGGACACATGTTCATAAAAACTTTTTTTCATACTTGAGAGGAATCTCCCCTGAGCTTTTGGCACCACAAGTCTAAAATACCCTGTATATTACTTATTTTTTAAAACAAAACGCTTTGTTAACAAGAAAAGATCATTTGTTTTTTATAAATAAATATATTTTTTTTAAATAAAAATTTGATTCTTATAAATAAATAACTTATTTTTTACGACTAATTGGTTTGGTTTTAATAACCAAAAACAAATTATTAAGTAAATATGACCAAATGTCTTGAAGCTAATCATTTGTTTTTAATAACGTAGCCGTTTGTAAGTCAAATACTGAATAAAGCATTTGGTTATAAAAATGCAGATTTGGTAATAAAAACCATTTTTTTCTCTCAGTGTGTGATTGAGCAAATTGATTTAAAAAATAATTAGGGCTAAATACTTAGCTACTTTCTGTTGTTATTATTATTATTATTTTAGTACTACTAATATTTTTGATATTGAACAAATGATCCATATATGTATATATATAAATGTATAATATTTGTATTGTTATTTTTCTGTTTATTATTTATATAATTGTAGATATTTTAATTTCTTAGAGTAATGAATTGCACGTACAAATGCACATTGTTGCATTTTTGTGTATATACCCATATTTATTGCTGTAAATTCTAGCAAATATTTTATATTCGTTTATGTGTTTTATGTACAGCCAATAAATAAATATTATTATTATTATATTATTATTATATATATATATATATATATATATATATATATATATATATATATATAACTGCAGTTTTAGTGATTTTTTACACTTTTCAAAGGTTTCAAACATCGAATTTTTGAATTAAAAAAAATAATCCTGGTATAGATTCTTTGGGATATTTTATGCTCTACAAGAATCCGCGACGTAAAAAATTTTATCTCAAACGGTTCAAAAGTTATAGTCTTTTTAATGAAAAAAGATTTTTTTACGTGTTATTTCAATGGAAAACTTAGAATGCTCACCGACACCTTTTAAAATTGAGCAAAAAATTTTGCCTTGCAGGGAAATTTTTTGCTCGGTATGTAGGTTCATTTTAACCCATAAATCCGATAGGTTAGTTTTTTTGGCTCACCCTAATATATATATATATATATATATATATATATATATATATATATATACATTTGTACGACCGCTTATACGGACCCAAAACGCTATAGAGTACCGACTTTCCAGACCAAAATCGACGTTTTCAGACCCGGCTTCGGGTTCGACAACGTTTACCTATAGAGTTGTGTTCAGAAGGGAAAGAGGGGTTAAAGGAAACAAAAATTGGGAGGGCTTGAAAAGTCGGTAAAACATTTTTTTTTATATGGAATTAGTTCACGCTTATTCCGCGTAGAGGGCAGGACTGTTATACACAAACCAGACTTATACACGATTATATGAAGACCATACGGTGCTGACGTTTACGGTCCCGAAATTTGGCAACTGTGTATTAAACTTTAAAATCATTTTAAAAATAGATTTATGGATTTAAATGTAATAAAGTTCGACAATTAACTCTCCGTTGGTGCGCGGGCTACAACGGTATTTCCAGCCATTTTAAATAGTTTGTAATAGGGTAAAAATCTGAAGTTTCACTAAATT